GTATATGTATGTATGTATGTATGTATGTTTGTGTGTTGTACGTAAATTAATGCTGAATTATTGATATTGTCTTTCATTTACATCTGGAAGAGAATTTCATCTGCACTGCAACTTATCTAGACTACATTCTTGCTACGCTTTGCATGATAGGTGAAAAAATTATGATACGGTTGAATACATGCTTGACAAGCTCCTGTCTCTACATCTCTTCAGGCCTCTTCCTTTGTGACTGGTGTTGTTGTTCTGGACCACCATGTCAACAATGCTCTTATTCCATTCAAAATAAACTTGATTGTCCACCTGAATGTTCGCAAACTTCAATTCTGAAAAATGTTTGGACATTTACGTGTAAAGAACAGAAGTTTTCCCAGGAGGACTACAAATCTGCACTATCAACAATCACAATATTTATAAATATAGAAGTGTATTGACAAACTCTTTAGATCTATTTCCTAGCTTCTCTAAAGGAGAGGCCATTTCTTACACGGTCAATTTGGGACACTGATTTCATTTGAAATTTGTCTCTATCGTCTACCTCTCCTTCCACCCTGATGTCCACTTCTTCTCTGTCTTCTTACAGTTTCTCATCTTGCTCTTTCCACTACACCAGTGCTCTCCGCTCTGATCTCTTCTCCCTCTCCTTCTCCTCTCCTCTTTTTCTAGCATCCTCCTCTGTTAATATCTTTCTACCTGTTCCACTCTTCTTCTCTTTCTTTACCCCACCACCACCACCATATTCTGTCTTGCTCTTTGTATATTTTCCCCTTTATAGTTAAAGCAATTGTGATAAATGTGTAAACTGTTTCCTGTTTTGTGTGTGTTATTAAGCGAGCAGTTATTAGTTTGGTGCCAATTTGAAAATATTCCATCTGCATTTGATATGACAAATTACAGAATTTAGTTTGTTGTGTTTGGACAAATAGTACATAAGTGTTTATGATTTGTGTAAAACCAATAAAAGGAGCTACAATTGCTTTTTTTCAGATATTTTAAAGTATTGGTTGGTTGTATTAACTATTATGAACACATTTGAGAGTTTTGTGCACAGTGTTTTGAGAAAATAAGCATGGTTTGTAATTTGTATGAAATGAATGATCTGTTTAGGACAATTACAAAGTGTTCAGATCACTGAGTAAACTGTTTTGAGAACAGTGACCTGAGTTTGGAGAAATGTGTCAAATCGATTGAGGAAAAACTGCAATATGCATTATACAGAGACGAGATGAAAAGAAAATACCAACTTTTCTGAAGACAGTCAGTTCCCCTCAGAAACACATTCATATAAACCCCCAAATCAATATTTAGGATTTTCTTCAAAATATTTAACATTTTGTTCTGCCTGCTACAGCATTTTCTCCTCTTTGCGTTCATCTCTCTAGCTTCAGTTAACAGAACAGAGACTGGCTGAAAAAAAGAAAAAAAAAACAGCTGGTTGCTGATCGCATAAGTTACTGGGCATCACCTACTTCGGCCATCTTACACACAGTTGACTGACTGCTCACACCAACGTGAGGGGGAGGGATCATGTTACTCTCTACATTGCACACAACCTGGGGTATTCCTACACTTTCCATCTTTGACAAGACATGAAAAACAGCGCATGCCGCAGGAACAGTATAACGAAAATTTTTAGGGGTTTTGAAACCTTGAAATTTTTCAATTCGCACTATGCCTTGTAATCGGCCCATGCCTACTAACTGGTTAGGTGACTGTTCTTTCATTCTAGTTCATGGTATTCACCTTTCTTTAATTTTATACTACAATTATTGGATGCTCTGATATGCTCTGAAGTGCATATTGTGTCTCTTATTTACTCATGTATTGTGAGCTACAGTTTCTGACAGTTTGTAAACCATCTCAACCATCTTTCATTTGCTAGCCATTAATGTGTTATCACAGGGTCAATGTCGGTGCTACTGATCTTACTAAGGGTGGCTGACGGATCATGGATCGTTCTTGGTTTGATCCGTCATAGTTCATGGGTTTTGTTCCTCTGAAAGGTATGGGGTGGTTTGCTGGTAGACTCAAATGATTTATTTTTCTAAGTTGTACCTTGTTCCATTATGCAGCATTTTTATTTGATACCTCACTGATCTTGATATTTTGAGTTGGAATATAAATGGCCTAAACGCCCCTCACAAACGCACAGGTTTTTTGGATTTTTTTGCAAAGAAGAAAAATTGATATAGCTTTAGTTCAAGAATCCCATCTGCTAGAGGAGGATGTATGCTGATGCAACAAGAAGTTTTATGAAGTGATATCTTATTCAGCTACGGATACTTAAACTAAAGGTATATTGGTGCGGAGGACTCTAAATATCACTATTTTAGATAAAGATTATTGTATTTCTTTCAGTTTATGCTCCTTGTACTGCTGATCCTATTTTTCTTTTCTTTACTCTCAGCTTATCTCTGGAAATTTTCTGACTTCGAAATTATGGGTGCAGATATGAATTTTGTAATGTCCCACAGTAGTGTTGTTTTTGGCGGCCTGTTGTAATTTTAGTTTTAGTCTAGTCTTTGTGTGAAATTGTCATTTTAGTTTTTATTAGTTTTAGTCACGTTTATACTCTTTTTAGTCTAGTCAGGTTTTAGTCAACTAAAAGTCTGAGCATTTTAGTCTAGTTTTAGTCGACGAAAACTGATGACATTTAGTCTAGTTTTAGTCAATTAAAATAGTATTTTAGTCTCTTTTTAGAAATGCAATTCTATTTAACCCAGTCAATATAGTATAACTACCTAGTAGTATAGACGAAACCAAAATTTTATTTTAGCAAACCCATTTCAAACAAGGTTATCTTATTATATTATTGTTACCTTATAGACTCAAGAATATTGATTTGAATTTACAACATTTATTTTACCAACAAAACATGTTAGAAGTACACACACAAATTTAAATAAAGACGAACCCCGGCTGGCCGGCCATCGGTCCATTTCTCTGTGTCAGACTTAACTTTGTTTGGTTTTCGTCTTCTAAATCAGTGTTTCCCAACCTTTCTTTAGTCGTGGCACCCTTTGGAAATTTTAACAAATTTGTGGCACCCTACAAAATTAATTTTGTCACAATATTTGAATTTCTAACTTCGATATGATAATTTGAAAAGTATAGATATTTGGTACAACAGGGAAGAACTGCAGAATATGTCATACAGATATTTTTAATATTATAAAAAAAAATTGTCTATCAATGGTGGCAATCAGTAGGCTAATTTCTAATGAAGAGACCAATTTATATGACAGATTTTAATGTGGGCTTTTATTCATATGTAAACATTGTGTGATAGCTAGTTATAATGGTAATTAAACAAAGTTTTGCTCACTTTTGATTTTACAGTTGGGTAATTTTGTTGCAGTAGCACGAGATAGCTTGATTTAAAACTTTGAATTGAATAAAAAATGACAATGAGGCCAAGCAGTTAATAATGAAATAAGAACAAATAAAGAAATTACTAAT